ACCACCGAATCTGCTTCTGAAAGTAGCACCGAATCTACGTCTCAAACCACCGAATCTGCTTCTGAAAGTAGCACCGAATCTACGTCTCAAGCAACCGAATCCACCGAAGCAAACACAGAATCAACATCAACGACAGAATCGACATCTGAAGCAACAACCGAGTCCACATCAACGACCGAAGGTATCACTGAGAGTAGTACAGCATCCAGCTCAGAACAGACTACCGAACTAACAACGTCAACGACGGAATCCACCACGGAAGCTACCACCCCAACGCCTTGTCCAATTGGTAACTTAACCGACGAACAGATAGTGCTCGCCTGTCCAACTGGTTTCCGAAGACATCCGAAGTATTGCAATTTATTCTATCAGTGTACTAACGAAAACGATATGGAGATCAAAGTCCTGGTGTTAAGCTGCCCGGAAGGGACGATCTTCGACGAACGAAAGATACAGTGTTTGCCCGAAAATAAAGCTAGTCAACCGTGCACGGGTACTATAGCTACTGCACGATTTTATAGAAGATTGGAGCAAAGTTCTACGCCTACAGTAAGTATTCGATCTCCGATTTTTTGCTTGTACGATAGAGCCTCCCATATTTTAAATATTCGAATGTTTTGCTCAACAAATATTCTATCACTCGAACAGAATATTTATAATGGATAACAGAGTAATGATATGTGTGTTTTTTCTTCTTTGTTAAAAACTCTGTCACGCTTTCATGCGTTATAAAAAATATGTATCACTCCGTCTGAAAGATTGAAAGTCATCTCAAAACTTAGTGCAGACACAAAGGAATTGCAGATGTTGCTGTTATGTTACTTACAAAAAGTAGTATCACTTTTTCTTCTTTCATTTGTTTTCATTTCATCGTTCAACAAGAACACTAACTTTAACATCAGGAAAGTGGTTGTTCCAGAAATTCTTTTAATCGGGTACTTTCTCTGTTAGTTTGGATATGAGAGACTCTGTTTCCCTGTATTTTACATGGGACAGTTTCTAAAATTATCTATTTCATTCCAGATAAAAGTATCAACCCAGCAACTATGCCCAGAAGAAGGTCACTACCCTTACAAATCGGGCTGCAACAGCCTGTTCTATAATTGCAAACGAAATTCCAGAAACGATCTTCAAGGCTATTTATACAAGTGTCCAGAGAACTTCCTCTACTGGTCAGTTTCGAGAAGATGCGAGCGCGCAGCGCGATTGCCATTGTGCGGGTTGTACAAATCTAAGGAAAACATTGAGAATTGGGAAGGAAAGTGGCAGATTCCAGTGGAAGAGTCTAATCTATCTGCTCGAAGTTTGTTTCGCTAAATTCCGATAGAAAGCTCCTAGTGATTTAAATGGACAGTATAAACTCTCAGGATAACTTCTGATCTTGTTTTTCTTTTCCTTTTTTTTTTTTTTTTTTAATGAAATGTATCTGAAGGAAGTAATTTTAAATATTAGGATATTTTTATCTTTTAAATATTAGAATTATTAGAATTATATGTAAATGTTTTTTACAACATGGCTGCGGAAGATCTTACGATGGGATACTCGGATCTTCAACAGTCATCTTGTCGTAATTGATTAGTCTATACGGATTCTTAACAATTATTCGAGAATTATGATTTGGTATTTTCCACGATTTTCCGCAACGTAAGCTCGTAAAATCGTTGGAAAACCATCACGAATATTGGGGTTTTGGTTGTGGGATTTGTATGATATTCGACTGTATTCAATAGTTTGCGATATTTATTTGTAAAGTTTTCTCGCGACTACATTTTCGTGGTTCATAAAATTTTACATTGATACGTAATAATGAATTAAATTTTACAATAATGAAATTATCATATAACGATGAATATAGTGAATAAAAATTAAAATTAATATAGAAATTAAAATATTAAAATATGATATTGAAACATTCGACGTTTCATCATTTTTATTCGACAAATATGCATAGTGTCTAAAGTTTTCTGAGAAAGCGTATTTACAATCTTAGCACTATATTCTGAATACAGTACAAGTTCAGTAAATCTTGGAAATATAATCTTGTATATAATTATGTTTTAATCGGTTTAATTGCTGCTTCCTTTGATAAAATATCGCGTTTAATTTCTTTTTTCAATATTGCGACGAAGTATGATAATACTTTTTAAAAACCGAACTTTTAAAACCGCTTTTAAAACCGAACATGAAATATTCTTAATGTAGCCATTTGTATGTATAGCGTGTGACTGTATTAGAGTTTTTTTGCAAATTGATATTAATAAATAATGAATGTTTAGATGAAATAAAAATATGCAAAGATGAAATAAAAATTGTGAATCTCTCGCATGTACCCCATATTTCCCAAACTTATGAAAGATTCAATTTAAAATTTACGAAAATGCTGGATTTTATGAAATACGACGAGGATAAATCATTTAAAAAGTTAGAATCGATTGTCTCGTTCTCGCATTAGTCGATTGTACCGATCGATTTACATTGTGTGCGCGTACATGTGATATGACTCATGCTTAACTACATAACAGTCAGTCGAACGAACAGCAGTGCTGTGATTGAGTGGTTGTCAAATTGAGTTATCTGTCGTTTATACAAAAATATTTGGGAAGATCCAAGTGTCCAAGGAAAATTGCAAATAGAAGTCGCTCCTAATAGAACGAAATGTTCCGCAATTCGCCAAATTTTGATAAATTATTAGGTACGTTTTTCTCGCTGTATGGGACGAACAAAATGTCCGACTGTCGAATTGTATTTTGAACTCTTTTTTTTCTCGTAGAAAAAGCAACAAGTCATTACCAACTTGAGCCTGACTGGGTAGCAATACTCCAGATATGCGATTTAATACGTCAAGGAGATGTGCAGTAAGTTTATTATTACTTAATGTGAAACTAACCTCACTATGTCGCGGTGACATTTCGATTTTGATGTGTATATGTGCAGTTTTTATATATCTTTCATGTTTTGTCAAAATTGAAATATTTTTTATACTTTTTTTTTCATTTGGTTGTTCGCATTATATCGACAATAATGATATTGTCTCATGTAAGTGTAGGTTAGAAATTGTACGAAATTTTTAATTTCTTACGTGTACAGACCTAAAATAGCACTCGCAGCCATTAAAAAGAAAATGACAAATGCAAATCCACATGTAGCTCTGTATGCTCTGTTGGTAAGAAGAAATATTGTTTGAAATTATTATTTATTTGTGTAACTGTTCATACTGCATTGTTTCTTATATAGGTTTTAGAGTCGTGCGTTAAAAATTGTGGTACTCTTATACATGATGAAATTGGTACTAAGCAGTATATGGAACAACTTAAGGAATTGGTAAAGACAACGACTCATGAGAATGTTAAACTTAAAACTTTGGAATTGATTCAAGCCTGGGCACACGCATTTCGAAATAGTCCTAAATATCGAGCAGTGCAAGTATGTTTAATAAATATACTAATAACTATGTATAACTATTTTATTTTAAATAATGTAACATCAATCAAACATTATGCGTAATAGGATACAGTTAATATTATGAAGGCAGAAGGACATAAATTCCCTACGTTAAAAGAAAGCGATGCCATGTTTATTGCTGATACTGCCCCAGCATGGGCAGATGGAGATGTATGTCATCGTTGTCGAGTAACATTTGGCATGGTACAAAGAAAGCATCATTGTAGAGCATGTGGTCAAGTATTCTGTAATCAGTGTTCAAGTAAATCAACTACACTGCCTAAGTTTGGGATTGAAAAGGAAGTTAGAGTTTGTGAATCATGCTACGGAAAAGTTAATAAGTAAGTATCAAGCAATTAATTTTCTTTTGTGCCATATTTTTAATTTTTTCATTTATTTTCACAGACCAACCACAGCTCAAATTAAGGAAGATTTACCTGCTGAATATCTAAACAGCTCTTTAGCTCAACAACAACAAGTATATTATTGTATAAAAAAGTTAAATTTAAGAAATATACATATCTAACATACAATATTCTATCTTATTAGGTACCTCCTAGAAAAACAGAACGAGAACTACAAGAAGAAGAAGAACTTAATCTTGCTATAGCTTTAAGTCAGAGCGAAGCAGAACATCAAGAAAAAGAAAAGAAACGGGGAAGTCGTGCTGCAACAAAAATAAATCCACCTAGTACGCGTGCTACAAGGACATCTTCTCCACCACCATCACCTGTAAGTTTGAAATAGTATAAGACTATAGTAGACAAATATAATAATCTTTGTTTTCCAGCAAGAAGAGACGGAAGTTGATCCCGAGCTCGCAAAATATTTGAATCGTAAACGTTGGGAACTGAGACAGAGCGCATTAGAAGAACATAGTTCTAGAGCAGATGTTACAAGTCCTTCTGCTCCTAATATAAGCAGTCCAATGCCACAAAAAGTTATAATTGCTAAACAGCAAAATGGAGAAGTTGACACTCAAATGGAAGAATTCGTTAACGCTTTACGATCTCAAGTTGAAATTTTTGTTAATAGAATGAAAAGTAATTCGTCAAGAGGTAGATCAATTGCTAATGATAGTTCTGTGCAGACTTTGTTTTTAAATATCACCGCTATGCATTCGAGGTTTGTTTTAAAAAATATTTTAAATTCATAAAAAACGTTATGAAATTCTTTGATGCAATAAATGAATTCTTTTAGATTATTGAGATATATTCAAGAACAAGACGATAATAGAGTATACTATGAAGGTCTTCAAGATAAATTAACACAAATGAAAGATGCTAGAGCTGCCTTGGACGCTTTACGAGAAGAACATAAAGAAAAATTACGGAGGCAAGCGGAAGAAGCTGAAAGACAAAGGCAGATGTTGATGGCTCAAAAATTGGCAATTATGAGGAAGAAAAAACAGGAATATTTGCAGTATCAACGTCAACTTGCTTTACAAAAGATTCAGGAGCAAGAAAGAGAAATGCAAATGAGACAAGAACAACAAAAGCAACAGTATATAATGGGTAAGTTTAAATAAATAATATATAAATGATGTCTACTTTATTAAATATATTTTAGGTGGATATCAAGCTGTCTCTGGTTTTATTGGACCATCTCAAGGTTCACCTGTTCGTCACGTTCAGTATCAAACACCAGGAACAAACTACAATCCTATGTCACCAACAAATCAAGGATTCATGTATGGACAACCTACTATGAAGTATCCTATGCAAAGTTATAATATGCCACCAATGAATTCTATGCCGCCTCACGTAATGGGGCCAATAGCTAATCAAGAACAGCAGCCAACTGATTCTGTTCAGGGGCATGAAGCAATGGGCCGAGTTTCTGTTTCTGGGCCAGGAATGGTTAGTACAATCCTAATATGTATTATACGTATATACCTTGTTTTTTTTTTTCAGTACTTCTATTGTATTTCTTAAACAACTTAAGTCATTTTGAATTACATATTTTATTTAATTACTTTCTACATTTTTTTTGAAGATGTCTCAAATTACAAATCCCATACTGCAACTTCAGCAGGCAGGTGGACATCAGATGGGACCACCACCACAACAAGGCCCTCCACCAAATCATATGACACAGACGCAGCCGACAACAGTACATCTACCACCGCAACCACCGGGTACTTCACAAATTACACAACCAGGACCACCAAACCAAATAGGTATACCTCAGGTACCGCAGACTCACATGGGCCCATCACCTGCACAAATAGCGCCTGGAACACACAGCTCTCCTGGACAAGTCGGTTTACCACCACAAATGGGACCTCAGCAACCATCTACGATGCCAGGTCCTCAGGGACCTTCGATGCAGCCTCATGTTTCAAATACGCCTATTTCATCGCAAGGATCAGGAACTATTCAAGTACCTCCGGGAACTACGACTGGAACGATGTTACCATCAAATCCGCCAATGCAAGGTCCTCAAGGACCTGGCGTACCGGCAGTACAAGTTATGACCCAGGCGCCAATATCACAAGGACAACAATTGCAGTATCAGCCGCCAACTTCTTTACCAGCTGCGTCAAATGAACCCACACAGTTAAAGAAAGAAGTGAAGCCAGAAACAGCAGAACTAATTTCCTTTGATTGAATGAATCACATGCCGATACAAGCTAATTCATACTATAAAGTGCATTTAAGGTAATCATTTTGCATACCAATTTTGATCTTGAATTGGCACTGTCTGTTTCAATTTGATGATAAAATTTTTATGCTGTTTATAGAATTAATAAAAAGATAAATTTTTGAAGCAGTTCTAAAATAATAATAATTTGAATTTCACAACTTGTCAACGAACAGTGATATTTTAAGGTATATTTAAGAGAAAATTGATTATTTCATTATTCGTGTTTATTTGAAGTTATAGAAATTTCCAACAATATATACATAAATTAAATACACGATTTTTTGCATAATTGTTAAATATATATCCGATAAAAGGTTATAATATTTGAATAGCAAAAACATACATTTCATATATATGTATTTAGATGTAATGTATGTACAAAATATTTATATGTTACATAGCATAAAACTGAAGAAAACTAGTTTTATCTATACCTGACGTTTTGTTGTATATGATCTTGGTTTTTTTTTTTTTTTTTTTTTTGTACAAAGTTAATTTTAAAATGTCTCCTACGAAAAAGAAAATATTACAAACTAAGAGAGTTAAAAAAATGTTGCATATAGTAAAATCCTTTATTATATCAATCAAATCATTCTTCCTTTAATTTAATATTGCATTTACATTTTTATTCCTTTTCTCTTTTTGTCCAATGTGTCTAAAAAAAATGTTTACACAATCTATGTTTTTTTAGAAATTTGTTTTTGTAATCATACTGTTTCCACTTGACCTTTTCTACGCGGTGGTTTCACTTCTTGCGGACAGGTGAACGATGTTTCTTCCGAATGTTTTCTGATCACAGACGATGGCTCACCATTAGTTGAGCAAGCAGAAATTTGACCATCTTTCTTCTCCTCGCATATATGTGATATAGTTAATCCATTAGAAGTTAAGGATGCTTTTCGAAGTCGCATATCTTCCAAAGGAATTTCTTCGCTTCGTGGCCTTGGCATCTTTGGCGAATTATCTCGAGATCGTAATCCATTTTCGTGACTTTTTTCATTCGAGGCAGTATCGCCGCGTTTCGGAGTTGATGACAGACCAGGGGTAGCTCTAGCAACGTTTTCTCTACGCATTTGTGCTGCGAATCCAGGAACTTTATTTACAGTAAACATTGGACGTAGTTGATGATCTTTTAGTCTTTGACCACGTCCTAATCCTGAAATTAGATTAAAATGTTACTCAGTTCTCATAAGTTCATCAAATTAATTTAGTCTTCCAATGTATCTTACGTTCACAGCGAAAACCACGCAATGCATAATTTGGTGGTGTAGTAGCGTGTGGTATGCTTGTAGGAATGTCGAGTAATCTTGCAATTTGATTCATTTTCTTTTGTCGTGCTTTTATTCTTCCTTTTGTTAGCCTTTAATAAAAAGCAATTCATTTAATGAAAAGAATATAATGAATTATATTCGATTAATAACAGATATTAATGACAACGCGCAATCATACCTTTGTTTCGCGGCCATACATCTTATGTGATCGTCAAAAATGAATTTTGCTGATAGCAACGGTACACGATTGCCAGTACTACTGCTTAAAGGTTTATAAATTGTCAGATATAGACATCTAGAATCATCTTTGTCACCAGCAACTTCGATATCTTGCAGAAAGCCTACCAATTTTGCTACTCCCCAACCTAGTTTACTAGTATCAGGTTCGACAAGAATTAATTGCTTAACATCGATGACTATAAAACGACGAATTTTTTGACCATCTTTCCATACAATGGTGCATGAGATTATATCGCTATTATCTGGACAAAAAATAATCAGAATTTAGTATTTATGAATGTTTGAATATTTCATTTACAATCTACTAAAACAAAATAACGTTTACTTAAATCAAGGACGTTGTCAACTTGAATACAGTTAGCTGGATTCGTTAGTGGCAACTGCGTTTCTGCTTCCATATTAAGAGTCAATGATAGATCTCTTATCAAAAAGAACACTCTTATGGCGCGTCGTGCCCTTTCAACCTGTACAAATATTAATTTCGCTTTTTATTAATAAGTTTAACAATATGTATTAATAAAGGGCTTTATATTGAAGGAAGTATTTACATCTCCGCATGGTAGTCTTTTAGTAAATTCGATACCCGTCATTGGAGTTCCTGTTGGCGGTAATAAAATGTTACTGTCCATCATTAACCATTCGACATTTAGAGGTCGTTTTTGAATTTCGCTATATTCATCTTCAAACATATCTAAGAATATGTCTTCGCTCTGCAAATAGAATGAAATAATTTTTTTATTATTTTTAATATTAACAAAGAAAAGGAATAATTTAATATAACACACCTTATAAAAATTCTTTAATAACGACGTGCTTTGCTCTTTGGCTGCTTCAATTGCGGCCAAATGTGTATCTTTTAACATACTTTGACCTTCAGACATTACTAATTGTATCAACAATTTAATTGTCAATTCCAAAGTAACAAGTCTCACTCTAGCATCTGATAAAAATAATGTTCGTAAAAAACGTAGATTATTGTTTCGGAAATTAAGGAAAATATTCTGGAAAATGACTTACTTGTTTGACAACTTAATGTTATGATATGAATCAGTCTGTCTATTAAAATCTCATTATATAAAGTTGTAGTTGAACTTTGTGAATTGCATAAAATTGGATCCAAAGTTTTACGATCTATGCCCTTAAAAATTTATTCTTGTTAAAACAGAATAATAATATTTTTGTTAGATATAATAATCTCAAAATATTTTTCCCACCTGATTATTAGCTAAAGCATATAGTAAACACAATGCGAATAGAGCAGCGTAATCATTTTCTGTGCAAAATAAAGAATTTAAAATAGTTTCTAAAAATGGTTTATTTGATAATGATTCAGTTATATTTTTTTGTGTTTGAGGTGTTAAGGGACTTTCTAGTGCTAATCTTTGTTCTTTTTCTTCATCAGTAACATTTAAATGTTTAATTTCTTCTAAATCTTCAGCTGGAATATCTAGTTGTTCAGAGCTCATAAGTACTGGTACTGTTGAAACAGAATTAAATGATGTACTAGCACGATTCGTTCCTGAAACTTCTTCATTTCCATTCTCAATATTCACAGTATCTTTTCTTTCTTCCAAATTTTCTTCTTCATAAAGGTCATCTGATACTGTTAAAGACTCACTTAAGTTTTCTAAAGATTTTTCTAAACTTTCTTTTGGTGGTGAAAAAGCAATTGGTTTATCTGATGATATATCACCATACATTTCAAGTACTTTACTTGCACCTGTTTGTATTGTTTCTAAATCTGACAGTAGCATTACTGCTGCTAGTGTATGTACAAGAGGACCATGAGAGACTATTAGAAACACTTGAGAAAGTAAAAACAAGGCTACAACAATGCTCACATGTTTTCTTTCTTCCTATTAATCATAAATATAAATTATTATATCAAATAATTACTAAAGACTTGTTAATTAAAAGCATACCTGGTTTTGGCACAGAAAATTTTTGTGTCTCATAAGTGAGTAAACATATAATGGAACTAACAATTTGTGAAGCAAATGTTCTGATAAAACTTTATTTAAATCAGATATATTTAAACAAAGAATGTCATTTAAATAATGCAAATGATCTAAATGTTCTGCTACTAAATCTGATAATCTGTTTTGGCTTTGATGACTGAAACACATATATATTATAAAATATCTTTCTAATATTTACGATTTAAATTATGTTTTGAAAATGACTTACTCAGCATCATTTCTAACACAAGTGTCAAGCTCTATAATGTGATTACCAATAAACCATACAAGATTGCTGAAATAGGGTGCAGCAGTGCGGTCTCTTATAAATGCTAGCATGGAGGCATCTTCTACTCGATATACATTTAAAGTTAAAGTTCGCACTGCTATACGAACCATTCCTTCGGAGTGATTAAAAAATTTAATTGCCTCCGTATACAATGGAAAATCATTGGTGTGCTGATAAAAAAATCAAATTAAAACATATTCTCTTTTATGTGCTGAGTGCAGAATTTAAATAATGATGATGACAATGAAAATGAAATAATGATCACAGTAAGAAGCACAATATGGATAGATTAAATTACATATGCATGTCATTATGCATAAATGTTATAAATTTAAATTTAAAAAAATATACATATGGAAGGCAGCTAAGTAATTAATGAGCATGTGGTTAGCAAAAGTGAAATAATAGACACAGAGGATTATCACGTGTACCTCGTTTACCTCATTATAAAAAAAGTGAATGGTATGTGCATTTAACTTCAAGCTTAAAGTCTTCAAAAAACTGATATAATATGCCATCACCTCCTCATCGCTAAAGTCAAATTTGTGCACTATTATACTGTTTACATGATTGTTACTAAGTAAATAATCTGGAAATAAATATCTTAATGGAATTTCCGTCAAAAAGAAGATCGATTAAATTCAATAAATGCTGATAAACTTACATAAAGATGTTTCATTACGTATATTTTCAAATAATATATTTAGAGTCTGCAATAATTGAACACATACATAGCTTCCACATTTTTGCTTCATTATACGCAAGAAAAATGAAAGCATGTTCTTTTCCAGAAAAAAACTGTTAAAGAAATATACATACAGTTATTATTTACTATATTGGAGAAGTTAATTTAATAAAAATTATTTCATTAATGCTTACTCAAACACACTGCTATCATTCTGATCACCCCATATTAAAATTTCAGCTATAGAACGAAGAGTCTCTACTAATAAACCTCTATTATTTTCTGACACAGTTTGATTTTTTGACAGCACATGATACAAGTACCTATATATAACAATGAATAAAATTTAGACAAAGTAAAAATTTAAATATATATGTATGCATATGTATACGTACTTAAGATGCTCTAAAGAATGAGGGTTTTTGGGCTTCCAGAGCCCTCCACCAAACCAGCTTCGACTACGAAACATTTTCTTTTAGTAATACAACCGCATTTGGGTGGTGTCTTGTATTGAATACATATTCCTTTTGTTTCTCTTTGTCTTTTATTTTTTTTTTTTTTTTGATTAAAGAAATATCACCAACATTTGTTTACGTAGTTTGTTAAAATTATAATTGTTTAATGCTTATTAAAATTTTTATAAACGTTTACACGATTGTCGAAACAGCAGTAAAATTTGACACAATGTTCAGGTTAGAGTTACTTTCCCATTATGTATCTTCATTTTTTATCTAATTAGAAATTATCATGTTTTTATATAAAACGCATTTACGTGTTTTGTACATTGTTCCAATTACGCAACAGGACACATGATCGAAACAATATTAATCACATTCAATTTTACACGACGCAAAACGAAGCCTACCCTCCATTACTAAATTGTCAGTGGAACTACACGTTAGGTTAGTTTAATGTCGTTTGTTATCATTATTTATAATGTTGAGTAATAAAGGATCGTGCTTTTAAAAAAAAGAAAAAAAAAAGTAGAATTTTTTTTAAACGTATTGTTAAATTTTATACGAATTATTTAAATACAAGCGAATGACAAAGTAAAAAGAGGATTTCAACACAATTTCACAACAAAATTGTTAAGAGGAAAGATATATTGATATTAATCATCTGTGTACACTGAAAGAAGCTTGCATGATTCATTATAATGAGAGTATTAGAACTATACAGTGGTATTGGTGGAATGCATTATGCTCTTCAAGGTGAACTTTCATACTGATGTTTGTTGGTTTAACAGGTTATATTGTTTAACAGAATTTAACCTGTACTTTACTTGTCAAAGAATGTTTGTTACATTTTAAATAAAATAGATAATTATCACGCAAAAAATTTTATTTTCAGAAAGTGGCATTAAAGGTGACATTGTTGCTGCAGTTGATATCAATACCATTGCAAACAGTATATACAAATATAATTTTCCAGATGTATCACTTATGAATTGTAATGTTCAATCACTTTCTGCAAAACAGATAAATGATTTAAATATAGATACTATATTAATGAGTCCGCCATGTCAGCCTTATACGAGGGTAGGACTGCAGAAAGATATATCAGATAACAGATCATCTTCATTATTTCATGTTCTTTCATTGATTCCACAGTTGAAAACATTAAAATACATACTGCTTGAAAATGTGAAAGGATTCGAAAAGTCTGAAATGAGAAATGCAGTATTAAAATGTATGAATGCATCTGGATTTAATTATAAGGAGTTAATTCTAAGCCCTTGTCAATTTGGTATACCAAATACAAGACATAGATATTATCTGTTGGCTAAAAGAAAGGATTTTCAATTCTGCTTTGATCACTATACATTAAACTTTAATCTACCAGAAGCTGTTTTAAAGGCCTTACCAAAAAGTAAACATAATTTATTAGCAGAAGGTGCTAAAACAGAGAAGAAGTGCTATAAATTAGAAAATATTTTAGAAAATGTTGAAGCGTCACAGTATTTAATTCCTAGAAAGTTGTTACAAACGAGAGCTTGGTTGTTTGATATTAGAACATCTCAAAGCGATGGTTCCTGTTGTTTTACAAAAGCTTATAGCCATTATGTAGAAGGAACTGGTTCTATATATTGTCCATATACAAAAGAAATAATTCAACAGACATTTTTAGAAGCAAATAAATATGGAAAGAAATCGTTGGAGGCATCAGAAGTTTTACAAAGATTAATGTTACGGTATTTTACGCCTAGAGAAGTGTGTAGATTGATGTGTTTTCCCGAGGAATTTGTATTCCCAGAACACATAACGTGTAAGCAAAAATACAGACTTTTGGGAAATTCAATTAATGTACATGTAGTTAGTAGATTAATATTTTTATTATACACTGAAAAGAAAATTACATGACATTCACAGAAATATATTTTATATATATTTTTAATAAAAAAAATCTTTTATATTCCAAAAAGTTATAAAGTTTCTGATAATAGAAATATTTATGAAGAAATAATAAGTGTAATAAGTAAATGATACTCACAAATACAGATCATTTATAAACATTTGCAATCATTAATAATGATAGTCATAATCATTGTTGCTTTTGAATAATGTACAGTTCACAATTTTTCTTAATTAGAAAAATGTTAAAGATTCAGAGAAATGTTAAAAATTCAAAGATAAGTGTAGAATAACGAACGAAAGCAATATCTATCAATTTTATTGTTTTACGATAGATAATTTCAATATTTTATATAGTTTCTAGTTCAGGTGGAATGTGAATCTTTTTCTCTATAGCAAACTTTTTTAGCGCTTGATATTTAGAATGCCAAGATTCTATTTCTTCTCTCATATGATTATTATCCTCTTGCATAGTTTCCATATCACGATATTCTTGTGTCTTTTCTGATTCCAATTCATCCTTCTGTTCAATCCGTTTGATACGACAACTAGCTGCGTATCCTCTATTTTTTAATGTTCGTCGACGCTGTTTCATACGAACTATTTCTTCTCGTGATAATCCACGCAGTTTCAATTGTCTGTTTAAATCTCTGACTGATATAGTCACTAGTTCATCATCACTAATATCTAGACATGGGCCAGGTGATAATGGATCCTGAAAAAAAAAGATTAATTGCAATATTAATCATTTAGAAATTATTTTACCTTGCCTTTTTAATAAAGAATTATAAAGAGGTGCTCGATTACATTCTCAAGGCTACATTAACACGTAATTACTTTTCCAATTATAATTGAATTATAATTGACAGCTAAATCTATGTAGCTGTTTCATCTACATATAACTAGACTTTAAAAAGTCACACAGCACTTTAAGGAATGACGTACCATTTTTATAGATCTCTTCCCATCCATGGATATATCTTTCGATCGATTCCTTCAAGTTCCAACGTTGAAGGCTGGAAGTTTCAGTTTTACTCTAGCTTTCACGCTTTGAAGAAAAATTTGCTGAGTCATAATAGAATCTGTTGTTGGTCAGTTCGCCATTCGATTGAAGACATGAACTTTCTGAAAACATAAACAAAGAAAGATGTCTTGTTACGGATTTATAACAAGTACACTGGTATTTCTAACAAAAAAAGCATATGTATTTTCAACCGTACTTTCTCCATATCGTGAAAATTTTAAAAAATTGCATTCTTTGTTACTGAGGCATCAAATCTTGCGTTCATTTAAATTCTGTAGATGGCGCATCGTGATACAAAATGGCGTACGTCTTCATGTTTAGTTAATGTAGTCGTCAATAGAGGGTCATTAAATTATATAATTTCTCGTTAGTTATTACATGATTGGATTTTTCTACATATAGTAAAATCGAAATGCTCAGGAATTAGTGAGTTAACGAGTTATAAGGAATGTTGCTAAGACATGTCCTTATGTTGTAAACCTAACCCAAACCTTTTTCTTTATCTCCTCCTTAATGTACAATTTCCCTCGTCATACGATGATATCTTGTACATTAGCCTGGGTTTTGTCGTCCTGGTTCCAGGTTAAATAAAACGGTGTTTTCGAACACCTTTGACAGGATATTCTTGTTAACTTCTATTTTGAACTTTCCAGAAAATAATGATACTCGAGTTTTTTAAATTTTATTTGAAATAATATTTTCTCTTGTTCTACAATGTAATATTTAACATAAGTTAAATTTATGCATCGCACGAAAGAAACAAAACTACCACAAATTTGGTTGAAATTTCTATCGGTTATCGAAATTGTTTCTATTTTGAATTTTTGAATTTTGTTTTGTACAAAGTACCTGTTCAAATTAACTATTTGAACTAAAAGTGTGTCACGTAGTACTTCCGGTGTTGCAGTAGCATAGATGGCGTTCCAACAGTGTAACGTATCGCGTCGTTTGAACGTAGTCTATGTACAATCCTTCGGTTAATTCTTTTTTACTTTGATATTTCTACGTTGATATTTCTAATTATTCAACAAGTATAATGTGCTAGTGGAAAATGAAATTTACATGATGTTTTTCTTAAATCGATAAATGGTCAGTCGAGTAAAAGAAATAACGGCCGTCGTATTATTGGCGCCATCGATAAATTTTTACGCGTCGGTTGAGACAACAAATAAAGTACGTTTTCGTTAAATAAACGCAGTTGAACGTGTAGCGCTCGTTACTGTTGCAATGAAAAATAAACGAAAGATCAACGGTTTTGCAAGTGTAAACGTGATAACGTGTATTTGTAAAGCAACAGGGGGAAAAAAATCGAAATTTTCGAAAGTGTCGAAAGTCAGTTACCGAGTGTGAATAAAACCGAGTGGTAGTTTAGTTTGACGGAAATAATTGACGAAATTAACGTGACGTGTGTGACAAACGCGTGCATTCGAAGGAATTGAAATAAAATTCTATACAATTTATAGGTTTGTATAGAATTGTATTTTTCAAGATATATTTCATATACATCCACTCTGTAATTTTTTTTATAGAACAATATAGGTTAACAATTAAAACAAAATTAGGAATATTTAGGTTAGAATTCGTTTGAAAATTTTTATTATTTTTAGTTCAATGGTTCATTGATTCGTAAATAATTTGTTATAGTTGTTAAATGTTTTGATTTAAAAAGTCAAATAATATTAAATAACCGTAATGCATTATACTAACTAAAGTTTTACAAGTATATTACAAGTATTTATATGAATCAGAAATACCAGAAAAGTATTCTTATGAAATGTTTCTTTTTTATTAAAATTTTAATAGAATTTTTCTTTTTTAATAAAAGCATCGTGTTTTTTTCACTTTTCCAGTAAAAGCGTTTCATTATTTAAGAAAGAGTGTGTGCCGGTGTCGCAGCAACGCTTACTAACTTGTTTTTCTGTTCCAGATCCGGGGAATAGCTATTATCTCCTAGCAGTAATTCAATAGCGGAGAAAATGACAGGACTGAAGGAAGATGATAGGAGGAGGGTCGATGCCACGAGGAAGATGAACGGTAAGAAAGAAAATATTTGTCAAGCGAAAATACAAATGAGCTGTCGCTCAAGAAATATATACCTATAGATCTATAGATTTTACGATAAATTGACTTGCAGTTCGCCAATTGTAGGTTACAAATAATTTTGATCGATACTCGCTTCTCCATAAGCATAAACGAGGATTTACACGTATCATTAGAAGCAAGCAAAAAAGTCTTAATAAACGTGAGTGTCCAAAAACCATTAATGTCGGAGTTACAAGATGTTTTTGTCAGTAAGACATTATCTCATCACAGCGTGTGTTAGATACGTTCTTCTTTCATTTTTACACGACTCATGGTAATTTCAGAATTCGAATACAAACGAGTTTATTATTATACATGGGCTGAGTAATCGAGTCACCATGCACAAAGTGCAATTCTTTTGATTAAGATTGACAATGTTGATACGCATGTTCATTTACATAGTTATTTACATTGAGCTTGCCTCCCTTTGAATCAATTTCAGAAATAGGGATTATTCTGTTACAAGTTTAATCCTTAAATGCAATTTCAGATTTACAACTTAAAAGAAATTGCAAGAGGATTAGAGTGAAAACAAAATTTTAATAATTCAAAAGCTAATGGTTTTTGGACCAATATTTTTACTTGTTCTAATGAATACTAAATAGTTCTGAATTTTGAGCGTCTAGACACGTTTTATAAACATCCCTTTTCGACTTCCTTACGATTCAATGATTTGTCGCATTGCGGCTGATCGAATGTCCAGGTATGTATCACGGTTTCGTTCCCAAAATCGTTCGCAACTGCAGCAATTGACTTGCGGCCCGTGAATACTTTGTTATCACGCTGTAGACAGGGGTAGGATTTCCTTGAGAGAATTTGGGAAAAATGCCAGCGTAATAGACCAAAGAGATACGTTTCTCGAGCTAAGCTTAAGATACAAATCAGAAGATATATTAAACCAGAAAAAAAATATATATATACTTACTGTTCATTTGTACTTCTTGTGAAACTAAACGAATAATTTGTAAATTTGAAAAAAACATTCCTTCCTAGCAATGTTGCCTCGAGATATTACTAGTGAAATTTCATGTTGTATTCACTGTACAAACAAAAAGAGGCCTTTCGACTAATGCTCTGGTAGCTGCACAAAACTTCTGTCGGATCTTCGAACACTGATCGTTTCTAAATTAATTAATTGGCAGAACAATACATCGATTTCTATGTAATTTCTATTGACATAATCGAGGGTACAAATTGATAAATATAGTTTCGCTGCTGTATAACGGAGAATTTGTTTTTCAAACGAGTACGATATGTCTGGCGCTTTATCTTGCAATTCGACTGTACTATTGTTTTAACGACTTGTCTTAGCTATTAAGAATTCTCTGAGCTTGCAACACGTTCTCCTTTAATCTTCGTACAGAGTTGGCTGGTGCAATGAATAATTCTATTCGCACAGGGTAATGAATAGATAACCGAAACGACTGTTCGATCATTATCTAAATTAAAGCTATTACCCTGCGAGGGCATAGTATAGCATTAAACAGCTTATTCGTTGTTGGTCGAAGTTCATTAGCATATACCAGTTATTCCAGACAGTATCTTGATTTGCACGACGCGCTGTCGCCGTTAATCCTTTATGATCATATTCGATTTCTCCCTCTATCATAGCACACTGCTTCCGCTATCAGTCTCTCGCAGGAGTCAGGATCTTTTAGTCTTTGATAAAATTTCCACAAATATTTCTCCGCCGTTGAAATAAAAAATTAAGTAGGTCGCAGTAATTTTTTGTAGACTAAAGGTTCATATTAAAATCCCTTTAATTTTAAAATTCCGTCAACTATGTGATACCCAAAATTTGTCACGTTTTGTCTACGAAATGAAAGATTTAGTTTTTATAAAATATTCGTGTCAGCTTTTATGAAATTTCATTGTACAATATATTGTAAATTTGTGTTATTTGAAACTTTTTCTCATCGGTGACACTCATCTCATTTTAATTATTTTAAGATGTTTGAGTATAGATTTTTTTTCAGTTGCTGATAATTACCGGTGAAGTTTTGTCTCTTTTTTTTTTTTATCATCTTTGTCTTGTTTTATTCAACTTGGAATGTTTGGTAATTACAATCTATGTAATTATTGTATATTATGATGTATTACTGTTTTATTATTATAAATGTACAAGCAGATGATATATTATCAACGTAGGAATTAATTAAATGCTTCAAATAGGATAGTAATAAAGGACGATAGTGACGTAGCTGCTATAACAACATATGCATTACAATACAGTGTTTTGTCAGCGATACAATGTCTGTATCTAAAATTAGGATTATCTAATGTAATAGGTGATATATAGCTAGGAGAAATAAATTACATTGCTTCTAAGTATTTATAAAACCTCTTAACTTTATTAAAGAAAGGAAAACACAAGGAACTTCTCTCACATTTCTTGAAATAGTGTGTCACATATTGTGATATTTTATAAAATATTACAATGATGCTTTATGGCATATCACCAAACGTTCATTATATTTTTTTTCAAGTTGTAAGAAACAATTGTACTTGATTTAATTAATTATTAGTATATTTAAAATCAAGATACGTGGTTGGGGAATTTTTTTATTTCAACATATCTTGATATAATTTATACAAAATTACAATATCAAAATTCAGTAATATACTGCAACTTTGAATTAATAGTCCTTCTTATTCTTTATATATTAGTTAGTGATGCTTTTATGTAAGAACAACAGATATACGAAACTATAATTAAGATGAAAACTGATCAAATTCAAATTTAAACAATTTTGATTTGATTTATATAACGTGTTAATAATTAAAAATAATCGCGAAAATTCTGACCTGTTTAAAACTTTGATTACAATCTCATTCAGAGCCACCGATTTTAGGCAATTTGTTGCAAAAAAAGTTGTTAGATTATTATGGATCAAGTGGTTTCAAATCTTGTTTGGTCACATTTTAAGACAATACAGTGTAACTTTTGTAATTATTATATCTTTATTATCACTTAAATTGTATAATTTTTGCAATTATATTGCAATTATTTGCAATA